CACGTGGACGACCAGACAATCAGTTTATCGGTATTCGCTTGTAACTTCTTTGCGTTGTCAACGCAGCTGACTTCCACCCACGTTTTATGTCATCCGAAAACGTGAGAGCTGCGCAGTTTAAATCATTGAGATAGTCGTTTACATAGATTAAGAAGAGTAGTGGGCCCAAACATAACTTTTGATCCACTATTTTTACATTTGCCCATTCTGAGGTTGATCCAACAATAGCCTTCTGTTCTCTCAGGGACAAGAAACTGCTGATCCATTTAAACATTCTTTCTTGAATTCCCACGTCCCAAATCTTCTATAAAAGAAGCCTGTGCGGTAAACTACCAAAGGCCTCTTGAAGTCGAAAAGTATGACATCAAATGAATATCCCTTACCTGCGGCTCTTGCCCACTTCTCTTGCGAGTAAAAAGCACTCGTGAGACAAGAGCGTCCTGGACGAAAGCCTGATGGACTTCGCATAATAATTCGCTTCTTCCCAAGAATCCTATTAAATGCCTCTTGCTAATATGCACCACTATTTTTCACGCGATGTAAGTTAGACTGACAGATAGGTGATTTTCGCAGACAAGTCGTGAACCTCACTTATGTACATATCGGGTGACGAGTGCCCACTTCCATTGTCGCGGGAGTTCACCTTTAAAATACTTCCGGAAGATGGAAGATTGCGGTTCGTACAATTCGCTAGCTATTTCGCCTAGTGATAATGCAGGAATTCTATCCGGTCCGGATGATTTGGCAAGCTTAAGGTGACGTAATTTGGGCTCGACTATGTCCTGTTTTCTGTGAAAACTATCATGTATTTTGGGGAATGAGGTGTTGGGTAGGGGCGATGGAGATATTTGTTGACAAACGGACGGACAAAACTGATTTTCAGCAAGTGCAAAATTGAAATGACCACGATGCATGAGGTTTTCATGTTATTGTTATAGGAAATTCTGATACTCATTTGTAGAAAATACGTTACACATGGAGCTAGAAGAAGGTGTAGGCTGCTAGAGTTTAAGTCCCAACACAGAGCCAAGGTGGTATTCACCGATTCTGTCTGTTATCATGGTACGATATTTTGCTCAAAGATCTAGCTATGTGATGGATTACGACCTCATTTTGTGTATGGATTATCTATCGGAGCCGAATCCAAATGGTCCGCGATATCAATAACGTCAAACTAGGCTTGTAGCTCATAGGAACCAGTCGACGGTGATTTAATGGAGAGCGAATTTTAAGCTACAGTGTCCATATGTATATGCCCGAGTGCAATGAAACCGAGGTCACCAATTACGCACTGTGCACCAAAAGAAAATCCACCAAAATTACCTGCAAAGAGGGAAATAATTATGGGCAGACCCACTAGGGTTGAACTACCTCAGCACAATGTAATAATAAAATCAGAACGAGGAAGCTAGTTGTTTTGTGTATCTTCAGCCCATTCGACCAGGTTTTGATAGCGTCCTCCGGGCGCTTACAATATAAGAAATAAAATGCTTCATTCATTTAAGTACACGAAAATTGATTTATGCAGTAATGAAAAGTAAAAATTTACGGAAAATAGTTCACCTCTCGGTATATGTGGCCGCAGAGAAGTTCAATATTTACATGACCGAATAACAATCGTGTTCTTTAGCACGTCGCTCCCTATTTTAAGCCTGTGGTTATTCCCACCTTCCTCTGCTTGTTCTCCTGTGTCAGGCTGTCTGTTTCCTAAACATCTACCGGACCTTCCACGGCTTATTTGAGGTATGTTGCCCTCAGTAATCTCTGCTGAAAGGTATCCTTTAATTCTGCCACCTGAATAACTTCAATAAAGAACTTTGACTCGTCTAGGCTTCTGCATGCTGGTTTGTTAAAAGCACACCAAGCAAGAAAGCGCGCTCTTTACTGTTTACTCGTGCCCTCAGAATGGCGAATACAGGTCGTATGTCATTGAAGCGAAAAGTATGTATTTGTAGTTTATTTCGTGTCCCTTGATGTATCTTTCGTAAATTAAATCGTAAAATCTGTGTTAAGTTTGTCCAAGCGGGCGTATTCAAAGCGGAGGTGGACGAATTTCTGAGAAGGGAACTGGCCGAGGACGGTTACAGCGGCGTTCGCGTCCGTTCTAATGAACGCAGGACAGAAATTATCATTTCTGCAACAA